CGGCCGCCGATGGGGGTCGTGAAGATAACGGCCACGGCGTTATGAGGATCCCGCTATCGATCATATCTTGCTTTGCGGTGCCACGTGCCAACGGTACGGACGGACTGTGGGTGTCGGGAGACTACGCTAGGGTTTCGGAGGTCAACCATCTCATGGTTAGCGATGGCATGCGATACGCTATTTTAATGTAAACTTTCTATCAATTTGTTTTTTTTTAATGGAAAATGTTATGGTCGGTCCAAAATCATACAATTTTTGTCCTCTAGGTCAGATATATAAATATATATATGTGCATATACACATGTGTGTGTGTGTGTGTATGTTTATGTACGTTACGGAAGATCATAGCGTTTCTCCTTCTATCATTTACATTACAAAATTTTGAGTTTAAAACATCTATTTCTAATTGATCATAATTATATATTAAAAAAAAACTTATTTTCTATACATATAGGATAAATAAATTTGATAAAATTTAAATGTTTTCTATCTCTAATTAGCCAAACTCGAATAACTTCTACATATTTGTATAGTCTTTAGCTCCAACCACGAAAATTTCAAATTATAGAATCAATCCTAATAATATTTTTAAGATTATGGAACCAAAAAATATATAACCCGAATTACGAAATCGTAGTATATATATATCAAAATTCATAAATGTAAAAATCTAAATATGGTTTCAAAGTGTGAATCACTTTTCTAAAATTTGTACAAATGAATTAGAACTTAAAGTGGAAATAAACACAAATATTAATTCATAGATGTTGGGTTTAACCATAACCGAATGTTTTTTTTATTTATTTCAATAATCATGCTAATAGAATTTATGAAGAATATGCGTTTTTTCCTTGTCAGTGATAGAGAATTAAGGTTGTTTTTGCTTTACAAAACGAATATAATGAAGTCCTTTCTTTTTTCTTCTAGAGATTTATAAGATATATATCGATATAAGTTAAAAAGAAGACATATCAAATTTATTCATCTGACAATGCATAAGAATATTTAACTTTATTTTACCTTAGTGGATAGTGGACACACTTTTTATTTTTATTTTTTGGTCCTCGCTTTGTAACATCAGTCGAATAAATTCATACATAATCTAAGTTCTAACTAACCATGTATTATACATGATTACACGTCATGTTCGTAAAGATATAAATCTCTATTTATACTCGTAGTACTATTTTTTCTTTCCAAGTGTGTTAGTTCTTTATAAATATAAAAAATAATTTTTATCTGTCAATGCTAAAAGTTTTTAAATTACAAAAGTCCAATGTAGAAGGAAATATTTGTCTAAATTCCACATCATATTATCTTCCGATATATATATATATATATATATATATATATATATATTCTACGTATTGATTGACATATTTAATATTTGACTTCGTAATAACATCATTATTTTAAAATTTTTGATAAATATTCCTATAATAATATCTTAATTTAGACAAAACTTTCAAAATAATACTTTAACTTGAATAAAAAATTTCAATTAAAACTTCTAGTTCCGTTTACTAAAATCAATTAATTTTTTTTTTTCAATTTAAAAAAAAAACTTACGCGGTGACATTGACAATATTCCAATATGTAAAACGGATTGACTCGATTCGACTAGGACCACATCGGACCAAACCATCTCATTTTTTGTCCAATTAGTTCTGATTTTTAATGAACCAAATTTTTTTTTGGTTTGGTCTAAATCGTTGAAGTTCATGAACCGATTCACGAACCAAATAAAAATAAAAAAATAATAAAAATACTAAATATAATAAAAAATAATTTAAAAAATAAATATATTCAAAAATAAAATATTAAAATGATAAATCTGTTTTAAAACTATTAAAAAAATATATTTTTTTCTATCTCATGAGTCAGAGTTGGCTCGTTCGACCCGTTTTTGAGTTCAAATTTTCTGAGTCTAGATAGAAAAATATGGAGTTGTTCGTGAACCTACATCACCACTATTTCAGTACCGTCGCCTAAAAATTTGATCAAAATAGTTAATGATTTTAGATAAAAGAAAATAATAAATTTTTGAATTTCGTAGAAGTTTTTCTCAAATTCAAAAGTTTTTATATAACAATGTAAGTTCATATTTTTTTTTATATAAAATATTGTTATAAAGGTTTTTTTTATGGAATTAATCCCTTAAAAATAAATCAGTGGTACTGATTATTAACTAATTATTATTATTATCGGAAATGAGAGGAATAATGTTGAAGTACAAAGCAGAAAATCTAGTGCTACGAATCATGGAGATTGATAGAGAAAAAAGATTAATAAATAAATAAATAATAAAGTTTACTAACGTGATATTTTAATGAAATGGTTGAATTTAGGTTGGAAGTAGCGAGAAGGCAGATGACGTGGAAATGTTTGTGTCCATATTTAGTGCGACACAGCATAATGCATGATGGATTACAAATATTTAATCAAGAACGAAATGTATTAAAATTAAATTAAATTAGATCTGTAATGCAAAAAGAAAACCAAAATATTATGTCGGCTGAAGAATCAACGGTCCAAAATCATAATAAACCGTGTGATTCTCTTGTTTCGTCTTTACCTCGACAAGTGACTTCGATGCTTTGGTCTCTGTTCGTGGTGCGTTTTGCACAGTGTGTGTACAATGTTGCCTTTTTCTAAATAAAATTTCTAGTAGATTCTGAGATTTTATATATATATATATATATACACGTTTAAGGTTTCATTTTGATAAATAATAAAACAAAATTCGAGTTAAGGTTTCACGTATAATTACAGTAGAACAAGGAATATTAAAAATATATACGCGTAAACAAACGAATATTTATTTCGAAAATGTTAAAAAGAATAAATCTCGTGTTTATCTCCACATTTACTATATTTTCCGACTTTACACAACATTGTGAATAGGATTCTTCTTTTTCTTTTTTATATTCTTAGGTTTTTTTATTTGTTTTTCCATTTTTCACCAAATTCCTTTCTCGAGAAGAAAAAAGACCATTAGTTATATATGGCTCTTCAAAATTCCATATATTTCACCAAGAGAAAAAAAACATTATATTTACCCAAAAAAAAAAAGAGAAACCTATATTTACCAAAAAAGAAAGAAAAAACCCTAACTTTACCAAAAAAAAAAAAAAACCCTATAAGGCTCAAGCAATTTCCAAACACTAAATGTGAAAAAAAAACAAAATAAAAATAAAATTTTGTAATGGTGTTTGGTATGTCGACGGACTTACTCATGAGTAGATGAGCACACAACATATCGAATGAGTCTGTAAAGCTGCTTTAAGATGATTATAAACTTTCTGATATAATCGATAGAAATTCGTCCTCAATAAAAATATTTATAACATTCTGAAATAATTTCACATCGATATATAAGATGATTAAAAAAAAAAAATCATTTGTCTTATCATTTTTTACAAAGTATTTTAATATTATCATCTTATACAAAGCATATTCATTTCTAGAAACTTGTCACCAATGTCACCAATGTTTTTAAAATGAATTTCCTAACCACATCGCCCATTGGTTATTTGAAAGCAATATTTTATTTTTTAAATCTTCAATCATTAAAGAAAAGCAAGAAAACATCAAAATGCAACCAATTTGACAATTTCTATGTTCATGGGGCCTAATTTGTCTATCTTTCCCATCACCAATTAGTTTTTTTCTTCTTTTTTCCATTTATAATTTTTATTTAATGCAATTGAAGTTTTATTAACACAAAACTATATATGGTGGATACAAATGATCGACTGCAATTCTTTTGTTATAAAAGTAAAATAAAATAGAAAATAATATCACAAACTTAATATAAGAAATACTTTAGATAAAAATTATAATATTAATTTCTTTGGTCAGTAAGAGACTACACTTCATCTGTCTTTAACAAAGGTTTAGGATTTGTAGACGTATAAGAAAAATAAACGCCATCATTTTCTCTAATTAAATATTTCTTTCTTTTTTTCCTCACTTATTTTTTTTTTTATTTTGTAATCAACTTTTGGTTTTCATTACTATTTATAAAAATATTAATTTCTTCTTTCGTATCAATAAAACACAAATATATATTTGTTTTATAGTTTTTTTATTCAATTGTCATAATGTATAATTTTTAATAAAAGTGCAGTTTACTTTTAAAAGGAAATGAAACAAAAAAAAATTTTGAATATATGATTTTTTTTAGGTTTTTTTTGCTTTATTGTGAACAAGAGCAGAATATTTAAATTTATCATCAAGTGATGGAAAATAATTAATTGCATGTGATAGTGACCAAACTAGATGTACATGAGATGTTGAAATCCACTCAATATATATATATATATATATATATTACTGGCTTAAATTATTTTTATATTTTTCTATAATTTGGAGTCCACTAAAATTTCTAGATTTAAAAATTTGAGCATATTAAACTTTTATGCGGCTTATCCTTGTCTTCCATTTTCATAACATGTGGGATTTTTTAATAACTACAATCATTTAAATGACTTTGTATTTCGGTTTTGAAGTTGGATCTTCAATTGAAAAATAATTACAAAACAAGAAACAACACTTGCTTGCGCTCCTGTGCTCTCTCTCTCTACTGATTTTTAGTTATTATTAATTATTTATAATATTTTATAATTATAAAATTCTAATAATTTTTAAGTTTAACAATATGATTCACGTTTCATCATGAATGTCAGTGTTTGTAGAGGAAAAAAAACAAAATGGCCAGAATAGATTTTTATATTTTACTTAACTAGATTGGGTATTTATTGTAACTAAATAATGTAAATATGTCAATTGATTAAAATATTTTAATTTGGATTACTATATAAAAATTGTTGAATTAGAAATTTTTTAAGAAAATGTCACACTGGCAAGGAATAATCAAATTCTGATACTGAAATCTAAAAAGCCAAATGGACAACAAAATACAAATTATACTTTCTTGACGAGCAAGTTATGTGTAGTGCTGCTTTCTCAGAGACTAACACAAAGGCTGTGTGGTTTTCTTACAAGGAAGTCCTGGTTTCAATGGCGACATTGATTCTGGAGATGAATTCATCAACTGAGATGGTTCCGAGTTCTCCTCCGAACCTCGATCTAACGGTAACGCTCCCTGTTTCGACTTCTTTCGGACCCACGACCGCCATTAACGGGATCTTCTGCGTCTCTGCGTTTCTGATGAGCTTCGGCAGCCGATCTCCATGGCAGACCTCTGCTCTGAAGCCGCAAGCTTTCAGTTTCCCAGCGATTTCGTTGCAGAACCCCAACTGCAATCAACGGAACAGAACCAGAGATCGCATGTTGTGTCATAAGAAAAAACCGTTCTACTCGTTTTTCCTCAGAACCGATTCTCGAAAGAATCAAGATTTTGGATTTCATGGCGATTGCAGTGATGGTGATACCTGGTTGTCTGTGACAGGCAAAACTCGAACTTGAACAGGTGAGAGCCAGATGGGGAAATCCCCGGCATAGTGTTCTATCAGAACTCCGAAAAATCTTTCCAACGAACCGAGAACTGCTCTGTGGATCATTATAGGACGCTTCTTTTCCGAGTTCGAGTCCACGTAAGTAACGTCAAAACGCTGAGGCAGATTGAAATCGACCTGTGTGTCACGAAGAGCAAGCGTTTCCGGTCATTGTTACGAAAAGTTTTGCACTTTTCGGGTTTCGGGTTCGATGTTACAAGGGGCAGACGGAAACTTGCCTGTATGGTTGAGCATTGCCATTTTCTTCCAAGGGCATCCTCGATTTTAAGGTCAATCTTCGGGCCATAAAAGGCACCGCCACCTTCATCGATCTGGTAGCTCCATCCCTTGTCGTCCAATGCATTTCTCAGAGCACAAGTCGCCTTTTCCCATATATCATCACCTCCGACGGATTTTTCGGGCCTAGTCGATAGGTTCACCTCATACTTGTCGAACCCAAATTGCGATAATATCTCTTCGGTAAGGTCTAGGACTCCTCTGATTTCATCTTGAATCTGATCCTCTAAACAAAATATGTGTGCATCGTCCTGCAAGAGCAAACCCTAGTTAATCCGAGTTACCAGAACATGAATCTGACAGTTTTGAAAAGGGTTAAGAGAGTACAAGAGCAGGTACCTGAGTGAACCCTCTTACACGGAACAGACCGTGCAAGCTTCCAGACAACTCGTATCGGTAAACTGTCCCAAGCTCAGCAACCCTAACGGGCAAGTCTCGATATGACTGACGCTTTCTTTGGTAAAGCAAGATATGGTAGGGACAATTCATTGGCCGGAGTTGGTAAAGCTCGTCCTCGATCTCCATTTGATCGTACATGTTTTCTTTGTAGAAATCCAAGTGACCACTAATCTTCCACAGATCAGCTTTGGCAACATGGGGTGTATAAATCAAATCATAACCGTGTTCTACATGCATCTTCTTCCACGATTCTTCAATAATGTTCCTAACTATTGCACCCTTCGGATGCCAAAACACTAATCCACCACCAGCTTCATCCTACAATGAAGACAGATACAGAATCTGGATCGTATTTTCTCTGAAGAAACAGTTTTTTCGAGTAGAAAATATTGGATATGAGCATCTGGGTACCTGTATGGAGAAAAGATCAAGATCTTGACCAATGCGTCTATGATCTCGACGTTTAGCTTCTTCTTTAAAGTGAAGATATGCCTTTAGCTGTTCTTCGTTCTCCCATGCTGTTCCATAAATCCTCTGAAGCATTTGCCTCTTTTCGTCTCCTCTCCAGTATGCACCGGCAACAGACTCGAGTTCAACAGCTTTCTTGTTGATCTTTCCTGTGGTTTCAACGTGAGGCCCGGCACAAAGATCCCACCATTCATTACCTAGACAGCATGCAAACTGGAATAAGATCAAGATATATATTACAGAGGTAGATACGAGCTATGGCCAAGAACACAGAGACCAAAGCATAAGTCTTGAATCCGACATCTGAACCATCACGAGAAGCTAGAGCTTACCAATGTGATAAATGGTGATGGGTTCTTCCTTGATACTTTCCAGAATCTCCATCTTGTAAGGTTCGTTGATAGCCATGATCCTTTTCTCTGCTTCCTCTCTTGAAACTTCTTCTCGTACAAGCGGTAAATTCCGACTGATAATCCTGTCCTACAGATTATGTAACCAATGAATTCTGTACCGAGAAATCAAGGAGCGATTCAGTACCATTCCCGAGATCTGAACTGAACCTCAGCCCAATACCAAGTAGAACATATACATTACCCCTGAATAGCTCATCAAACACTCACCATCTCTTTCTTGATTCTCTTGAGATCCTTATCAGTCAGAGGCTCCATATCGAAATCGTAATAGAAGCCGTTATCAATCCACGGCCCTATCGTCACTTTCGCAATGGGAAAGAGCTTCTGAACCGCCATGGCCATAACATGTGCACACTGAATTCACATGAATTAGGCTAATCAGCTCGAGAAATCACTACCATTTCTAAACAATGCATCAGAACAAGACGGCGATCAACAGGACATTTCCCCGAAGCACAACATCGAGTGACAACCAAAATCTGATGATAAAATTCAAAGCATTTATCACTGGATAGCATCAAAATTCAAACTTTTGCACAACCCAACTTCATCCACAACATAAACATAAGAATTCGATCATTCCCCTTCACGAACCTAAATCCGACATAACTTTTCTCACAATTCAAGACTAACCCAGAACCGTAAAAGCCCAATAATTACCGTGTGACGGATCCTGAGCAGTTTCTCCGATGACTCGTTAGTCGGAAGCGGGACAATCACCGGCTCCGCTTTCTTCGCCGCCGCGCCGCCGTTCTGAGACCCAACGTCGGATAGATCCGGCTCGGTGGCCACGGCGGAGATGACGGATAAGCCACGGGAGCTCCGGCGGAAACCCGGCGGCTGAAGGAGCCGAGATGGGGCGGAGACAAACCATCTGAGAGAAGAAGTAAGAGAAGAGGGATTGAAGAGGAAGGAGGAGGAAGAATAGAGGAGGGAATGATAGCTCGCCATTGCTGGAAGAACCAGCGAGATTGCTCGCCTGGTGGTATACGGAGTTTGCGGAAGAAGGAGAAGAAATGGATTTGAGATTATGGATGAAACGCTGCCTGTGGTGCGAGACCGCTGAGAAGTGGATTTCTCGAAAGAATAACGCACTCGTGCGAGTTCATTAGTAATTTTTTTTACATAAAAATCGTTTTATAAAATAACGATTTGTTTGAAAATAAATATTAAAATCAATTCTTTTTATTTTATGTTTTTTAATTTATCGTGAAATTAGATAATATTTATCTAAATCTAACTATCTTCCATTTTTTTTTTATTAACCCATGATTTTGTGGTTCAGGATTTCGAATCATATTTATTGGGTTTTGAATACCCGATTTTCGAAAGATCGACTCGAGAATCAAATTGTATATTCGAAAATATGTTCTTTAATTTACCAATCTCTCTTAACTAAAAACAAATATTGATTAAGCCAAAATATTCTAAGGTCACTGTATATAAATATGGAAAATGGAAGTGCACCAAATATTTGAAACAAAAAACACATTCTAAATCCAAAAAAAATGCATCATATATAACACAATCAATACGTATATATATAAGCCTAAATCCAAAAAATGTGTGACGTAGAACACAATCCACAATACATACATAAATAAGCCTACGAATACCCCATCAAAAAACCAAAAACCGAACCTAGACTAAACTACTTGGCGGGACCCACCGGTTCCATTGGCAACGGAGCGCTTGTCGGCGGAGGAGGAGGGAGCCACGTCACGGTGGCTGGTCCGATGGCGGCGGCGGAGGACGATGAACCAAGTGAGAGGCTCGAGGATGAGGACAATGGCGCCGAAGAGGATGAGGATTCCGATGTAAGACCATCTCCATTTGTCTTCGGGGTCCAATATGTCCAACCCTTTGAACACGTTTACGATGCTCAGTATTATCGTCGAGTATCCTACCGCGTGGTGGTATATGTTCCAATACATTCTGTACTTGTTGTCCGGCTTTGGCCTCAGCAGCATTGCAAATACCTGTTTTTCCAACCAAAAAAAAAAAATTAAAAAGAAAATTTTGTCAATTATTTCGCTGCAAAAATAAAAGAAATCACGAAAATATGGGTCTTTAATGGACCCATGTGTAATCTAAACATTTGAATTCATATTCATGAACTTGGTCGGACCATAAAAACCTAATTCAGTTTAAATCTTCAAAAAGATAATAAACATTTTTATAAAAAATGATAGCAATCGTATTTCTGGTCGATGTGGGATTCTAGGTCGTACCTGAAGAGTAGCGAAGACGAGGAGGGTGATACCGATGTTGCGGTGGGCGGAGTAGGAAGTGCCCGGAGAATCGTTTCCGAGCTTGATCCCGGTGGCCCAACCGGCGATTCCGACCACATAGGCCGAGAATTGGCACGCGATGTGCAAGTAGAACCATGCTGGGTCGGCAAAGACCTTCACGTACCTCGCCATTATTGCTCCCATTGGCATCAATATCCCCCAGCTCACCGCACTCAGCACTCCATGCCTCTGTCCATATTTATCACAATCTCACAATATTTAATACATATAAATAAATATAATCATAAGCCAACTAATCAAGATTTTACTGGTTAATTTATTTATGGTCTGAAAAAGGATTGATGAGACTGAGAACTGTCTGTACTCACGTTTCTCTTCTTCTCCCTGTCGGACACGGCCTGGCCGCCGCCGCCGGACACGGCCTGACCTGAACGGAAATTGATCCGACTGACAGATCGACCATTCTCTCCGGACGTCGGATGGATCTGAGGAACTCCGCCGGAGACGGGACCCACTTGCCAAACCTGGTTGGTCTGAACCATGTTTCCCGGCAACTCAAGGGTGGCAAAGATGATGGCTTCGTCGCCCGACATGCTGCCCGAGACCCGCGAAACCCGGAAGCTGAGATCGCCTCTCGGGAGCTGCGTGTTGTAGCTCGTGACGGGGGAGGTGTACGCCTGGAACTGACCGTTGGAGCCGGTGAAAGCGACGATCGCTTGTGTCCCAAGCATCTGCTGTCCGCTAGGGTTTAGTCCCCAGGCGATCCACGAGGAGGGGGAAGTTCCGGGCCGGCGAAAGGCGATGGAGGTAGTGCCCGTGGCCTCGTCGTAGGTCCAGTGGAGGAACGAGCCGAGGGCCGGCAAGGAAGAACAGTTGGCGAAGACGTTGTTGTTGGAGAATCTGTAAGAGTCGCAGGTCGATTGCGCGTTGCTTGAGAAACAAGAAAAGAGAATGATCAACAGGACGAAGAAGAAATTAGGGTTTAGGGTTTTTCTCCGATCCATTTCTCCGACAGAACAGAACAATGGTTGTTGTCTCTGTCTTCTTTTCTCCGTTTCTGCTGTGTTTTCCGATTCGTGAGGCATTTATAGAAGAAACGTGGAATCGTGAGTGTATGTGAAAGGTGCTCTTTGTTGACTCTCGTTGCCCATACTTTTACTTTTTTTTTTGTTTCCTCACCCAATTATTTTAATTGGAAAATAATTTTTCCATTATTATAAGCAGAATAATTTCTTAATCAATGCAAACTTTCTTTTTCTTTTTGGTTAGCTTCGCAATATTTTAGAATTTTTTGTGTTGACGTACCAAACACAAACTTTGCAGGAAAATGAATTTCCAAGAAAAGAAGGTATATGGGTTTTGTTCTATTTTTGTAAAAGTTTTCAATTCATAATCAAAGTTTAAATTTTATCTTGTTTCTTTTTCGAAATTTATGGTCTTCAATCATGGGAAAAAAATTTTTTTAGCAGCATCACATTTTTTGATTGTATTCTATGAACTAGATTGTTGTAATAAGAGACTAATCACATTGATCTAAGGTAAATTTGAACATAATATACTTATAGTTAATTATAATGAATTTATATAAGTATTAGCAGTAAAATTTTTGCTTTTATTTCCAAAATCTAATATTTATTGTATCACTTTAAATGATGATTTTTTTATCATCAGTTTTCAAAAAAATGATTAGATATATTACCAATAATCATCGCCGGATTTAAATTGATTTTGATTTTATTTCAATTGCGGTCTTAATCAAATTTATAAAATTAGAGAAGAAAATGATGGTCAAAATGTGTGGCGAAGGACCACGCGCTCACCTCACATTCATTCTGTTTAAATGTTTTAATAAAAGTCAAATGTTTATAACTTGAGAGAAATGATTTTACAAGTCTTCCACTTGTTGGAAATATGTAAACAAATAAAAAAAAAAAGTGAAAGCCCAAAATCAATCAATAAATAAATAATTAAATTCGGTTGGACTTTCTCATGACAAAAATGATCTTCATAAAGTTTATATATTGTCAAAGTTTTTCAATATATTTCGATTTATATTAATGTCTGATGTTTGTTTTGCACATTTTTGTATTGGGATTTTCCTTTTTTAAAAAATCGTATTCTATTTTATATGAATTTTATTTAACAAAGTTTGATCCATTTTCATTTAAAATTAATCCTATGATTTTATTTTGGTGTTAAATTCTTTTCTTATTTTGATATTCAATTTGGATTCTTAATTTATTTAACAAATCGATTTAAATACATCGGTTCAATATAATTGACATTTATATACTCCCAATTTTTCAAATTTGATATTTACATATCAAACTATTGTGGGGTTTATGAGATCCCCAATTCTTAGAAATTCAAATCTACACAAATAAATTATTGTGGGGTAAGATAAACTTTTGATACATTTATTTTTCAATATAATTATATGTTTCTCAAATATCTTAAATATACCTTAATAATCGAAATTGATTAAAATTAGGTCGTAATCAAACTCATTATGTATGTGTTAAACATTACCATAAATATAATATATTTTATAACCATGCGGATATTACGTAAATTATTTTCCATTTGAGATGTGAAATGGACCACACAAAAAAAAAATGACAAATAAAAATCGGTGGCCCCGAAACAGATACGACGACGTTTCTAACACGCAGTGGACTCTCTGCACCAATTATACGGCACCGTTTATGGTTCTACTTTCTTTCTAGAAGGTAACGTGTCATTTCGTCCGTACACTTGTACGTCTGTGGTCTTACAAATATCAGTCCACAAATACCAAACTAAACTTTCACGGTTAATTTATTTTTAATTTTAAAATATTATAATAATTTACTTTTTGTATTGAATTTGATTAGATTTAATTTTTATTCGTCAGATTTAAAACATATTCAGTTTTTATACCGAATTCTATTATATCTTATTTGGTTAGGTTATACAAAACTGAACCGCAATGGTTAGGTTAATTAACATTTTAATAAACCTATGCTTAATCACTATTAAACCTAGTGGAGTCTGCATAATCACATAATTGGAATTGCCAATATCATACGCAAGAAGACGAAGACCTTGAGGGTGATATGATATATACAGTACTACAATGTCTCCTTGGTGGTTATATATATTGAAAAATATATATAAAAAAGATTCAACCGTTCACCAACCCTTTATAACAAAAGTTTCAAATAAATTTGTTAAAAAGAAAAATGTCCTTCACCTACCAATATATTTCTACACACGAATTTTGACACATTCCAATAATAATAATAAAAAACAAAGACTTTAGAGACTTTTCACATTCAACTAAGACAACGACTCGGCAAGAATCTTGGAATGGAGGATTTTGAGAAGGTGGGGGGAAAGAAGGGCTTGAAAAAGGTCGGCTCTTTCTTCGTAAATGGCACGGGAACCCGGGTTTTTTTAGTACCCGACGTGACCCGTGAGTCGGTACTCGTCCGTCAACGGGACGAGAACCCATACCAGCTGGTATCCGGGTCGTCATCGATCGTCGTCTAGCCTCTCGAGGGGTGCATCTTTCCCTTTCGGCCTTTTCTCACCCTCTTCCGCCTTCTTACCTCTCTTTCCTCTCACGCCACATTCTCTCGTCGATCGGGTACCCGAGCATTTGGGACACTCAAATCTTGGATACCCGACCGACAAAATTACAAGCGAATTTAAATGATATCCCAAATGAGGGGAGACTGAGTCGACAATGTGATGGACATTGGACGACTCGTTTGATAATTTCGTGAGTTTGGGTTTTCATTTGTCAAATTGGGATTTTGGGTTTATTTTTATTTGTTTAGTTTTGGGAGAAATATGAATAATTAATGGACCGTGATGTTAGGCCCAATCTGCTCGAGTGTTTCATATCTAAAGGGTTATGTAGTTTTTTTTTTTAAATAATCGAATAATCTAATCGATCTTAACCAAATAATATAACTGTGACCTAACTGAATTAGATTTAAAATTAAATGATTATAATTTTTTTAAAACCGAATCTGATCCTCAACCGAACCAAATAAAAAATAATCGAAAAAAAGTTATATTTTTTTTTAAGAAAATAAATATTTTATTATAATCAAACCGAATTCGATCTAGATATAATCGCATCGAATCCGAACCGAGATTCGATTAAACCATCCCTAATTATTCAGATTCAATAATTTTTTTAATCAGATTTTAATTTTAAAAAAAATGTGGAGAAAACTCTTTTGATGCATCCCTAGGACAATGCAACACAATTCAAGAATTGTTTTTTAAAATTATAATTTTATGTTATTCGGTCACTTTTATTTAAACTATATTGAGACGGTCGTTAGAAAGCTGCGAATTTGAATATCCCCACCAAATGTATATGGTAATCAGGTAATGTATAGCCAGTGGGTGGGGCCCATTTGATCACTTGGCTTCAAAGCGAAGCAGAGGATATGACATTTTTCATTTTTTTTTGGTCCATAATGGGGAAAAATACACTTTCTATTTGCCATTCACCCCATCATATTAACCAAAACTTTAAAATATGGAAAAAAAATCATACTTTATAACATACGTATGATGTTATCTTGCACTGAAAGCAAAACCCACAATTTTTTTTTTAAATTTAATAAAAAATACAAAAAAAAACCACACTACAAAAGAGTAAAAACAAAAATAAAAAGGCCTAATGTTTGCTCTATGTATCCTATTTCTTCCACACAATGAGGATTCATATCCTAACCCTCAGAACCTTTCCCCTCCGTCTCCTCCTCCTCTTGGCCGTAAAACTCCCGGCCTCGGCCGCTGGCCGTTGCGTAACCACCACGGCCACGAGAACGTTCGAGAAATGTGTATCTCTCCCGACGCAACAAGCCTCGATCGCTTGGACTTACCACCCCGGGAACGCAACTCTCGACGTTTGCTTCTTCGGCACGTTCATCTCTCCCTCGGGTTGGGTCGGATGGGGGATAAACCCTAGTTCCCCCGAGATGACGGGTTCTCGGGTCCTGGTCGCGTTCCCAGACCCTAACTCGGGCCAACTCATCCTCCTCCCTTACATTCTTGACCCTTCGGTTAAGCTCCAGAAGTCGCCTTTGCTCTCGCGCCCTCTCGACCTCCGTCTCCATGCCTCCTCGGCCTCGCTCTACGGCGGGGACATGGCCACGATCCGCGACGGGGCCTCCGTTCAGATCTACGCTTCGATTAAACTTCCGTCGAATAAGACCAAGATTCATCATGTTTGGAACAGAGGTCTCTACGTTCAAGGCTACTCTCCCACCATCCATCCCACCACCTCCATTGATCTCTCCTCCTTCGCCACCTTCGATGTCTCCTCAGGTGCAAAGCATTACACTTTCTCGGAAATGTTTGATTCAGATGATCATTCAAAATTTAGAATCCATCAAACTGAACAATGGTCCCCAAATTGCTGATCTTTTCCCCAGGTTTTGCATCTGTAAATCGACACACAGATTCAAGAACCCTAAAAGTGATACACGGGATAGTCAACGCCGCCGCGTGGGGGGTCCTCCTGCCCGGCGGCGCCGTCGTCGCCAGATACCTCCGCCATATGAACTCCGCCGGACCCACCTGGTTCTACGCACACGCGGCGATCCAGCTCGCCGGATTCCTCCTCGGGACGGTGGGGTTCTCCATCGGAATCATCCTCGGCCGTGAATCTCCCGGAATCACGTATACCCTTCACCGGAACCTGGGCATAGCGACGTTCGCGGCGGCGACGGTGCAGACGCTGGCTCTGCTTTTCAGACCGAAGACGACGAACAAGTTCCGGAGGTATTGGAAGTCTTACCATCACTTTGTCGGGTACGGATGCGTAGTGATGGGCGTGGTGAATGTGTTTCAAGGGTTCGAGGTGATGGGGGAAGGTGGGTCGTTCGCGAAGCTTGGGTACTGTCTGTGTTTATCGACGTTGATCGGAGTTTGCGTGGCCATGGAAGTGAACTCGTGGGTCGTGTTCTGTCGGAAAGCGAAGGAGGAGAAGATGAAGAGAGAAGTTTTGACTGGCATTAGTTCCTGCAACCGAGGAAGTGGAATTCTCAATTAGGTCTTGCCCCTTGGGAGAGTGAGTGAATTCGTAGATATACATATACGTATATATGTATATATATACACGAATATGATCTGTATCTACAACTCGCGTCCGAAGCGTAAGAGTCGGAAAATCTCTGTTTTATTCATTACAGGGTCCCTGAGATCTGGGAACCTCTGTTTCTGTCACTTTTTTCACACTTTAGTAACCACAAACCCAAAAATAACAAATACTGGATTCCGGGGAGTTGATCTTTCACCGGATGTGGCTGTAACTCACCGCTCCGATTTCCTCCGCCGCCGGAAATCGCCGGAGATTCTATCGCTTTCGCCGGAGGGCCATTGAAAAAAACAATATGTACGGAAAATGGAGAGTTATGACTGTTGAGCTCGTATTAGTGAAGTTTGAATCACTTTTGTTTTTAATTTAGACGGATTAAATTCACATTATTCACATTTATTTCTAAAGATTCCTCTAACTAGAACTTGAAACCGAGTTTCTAAGGATAAATTTGATGCTTTTAATAAATTGTTTCATTATCAAAAATTCTCTTATTTTGCTATTCCTATTTCAACAAGTACTTTATCCAACTGTGACCATGTGATCCAAAATATAGTATGGTCACATGTTGATCTCATTACTTATAATATTAAATTTATGATATTTTAATCAAATAATTAGTAAGATATACAAGATATGAACATAATGAATTAGTGAGATCATCATAAATTTAACGTTATAATCAATAAAATCAACATGTTACCACACTATATTTTAGATCATATGGGTCGTATGGCCAGAGTTAAAAAGAGATATATATTGAAGTAAGAATAGTAAAATAATGATATTTTTGATATAATACATGACAAAAATTACTTATTCTCCACGTTTGATGCTTTTAAATTTGGTCTTCGAGACACTAACGTACGTAACCCAGTTCCAAACTATAAAGAATTATTTAAAAAAAAATCAAATAAAGTGCATGATTGCAATATGTTTTTTTATAGAAAATATATATTTTTAGATAATTGCAAGATTAATAATTATTTCGTATTTTGAAATTATGAGTTTTAACTAGTGTTTACTTACAATTCAATTCATAATGTAGTTTGTTAAAATCATGGGCCAACATTATTGGGCCGAATCCTAAACTTAGCCCTAATTTCAGTCTTTTACGATACGACGTCGCGCCAGGAAAACCCGATACCGGGTCGGAATGACCCGGCTTGAAATCCATAGTCCAAAAATGAAAAATTAGGAACACGAATGTAATGAAGAGGAGACGAACAATGGATCCCCGGATGTGGCACAAAGTGGCCGCCGTTTCTGGTAAGATTTCCTCTGTGATCTCTGTAGCTGTTGATGTATTGAGGAAGCAGCCACTGATTACGTCCATTGTAGGAATGGCTGCTCTTGGTTTGGGCACGTATGGAGCTCATGTCTTCAAGCCCCAAAACCCTTCTTACAAACAGGTCAAAATTGGAATTTCTCTTCATGTTTGGTCTTGATCTCCTTTACATCTATCTGGGTTTGATTTGTTTGACGTTTTCCTATCTGGGTTTAGTTTCTTATCGGATTTGGTTTGGGTTTTTTTTTCTGAAAAAGTAAGCATTTTTCAGGTGTGGCAAACGGCTTCTCTATACCATTTGGTTCATACCGCTGCCCTTGTTTCCGCGCCAAGCACCAAATATCCCAACATCGTAAACTTTTTCTTTGTGAATTCTCTTGTTTTTGCTCTTCTGCTACTGCACGATCATGCCGATCGTATTCTGAGATTGTGTTTTTCTTTCCTCCATCGTATTGATAACTGTTTGGTGTTACTTTTGTTTTGTTGCCCAGTTTGGTGGCTTATTGACTGCTGGGATTATAGCTTTTTCCGGCACGTAAGTGTTTTTTTCTTTCACTCGCTGGTCTATAAATTTCATTGCTCTCATAGTTTCTTAGTCCTTTGGCAAGCCCGCTGTATGATCTTTGTTCATGGCTTGTGTTTCATGTTTCGGAAGGGTTCTCCATCGGAATCATCCTCGGCCGTGAATCTCCCGGAATCACGTATACCCTTCACCGGAACCTGGGCATAGCGACGTTCGCGGCGGCGGCGATCCCAACATCGTAAACTTTTTCTTTGTGAATTCTCTTGTTTTTGCTCTTCTGCTACTGCACGATCATGCCGATCGTATTCTGAGATTGTGTTTTTCTTTCCTCCATCGTATTGATAACTGTTTGGTGTTACTTTTGTTTTGTTGCCCAGTTTGGTGGCTTATTGACTGCTGGGATTATAGCTTTTTCCGGCACGTAAGTGTTTTTTTCTTTCACTCGCTGGTCTATAAATTTCATTGCTCTCATAGTTTCTTAGTCCTTTGGCAAGCCCGCTGTATGATCTTTGTTCATGGCTTGTGTTTCATGTTTCGGAAGAGCATTTTTGTATGAAACTTGCCGGGTGTTCCACAGTTCACAGATCACAGAATCTCTGAGTTGTAACCTGAGCTATTTGATGTTTCCTAGTGCTCTGAATCTTAGATGATTTAAAGTTTCCAGCATGGGTTCCAATTGTGGTCACTAAGAAATGTAGGATAGTGCTTTGTCATTTCAGCCTGGCAAGTAAGATAGTCTAGAGATGTTTCAAAGTCTTCAGATCCCTTTCGAAGCATTAATGCTGTCTGCTTCTTTGCAATAGATACACTTCAGAACTACACTTCAGTTTCTAATTTCTGTTCTGTAGTTCAATGCAATTGTGAATATCCAAATCTCATGTTCATGGAATGTTGTAGGTGTTATATGGTAGCACTGCGTGAGGACAGAAAGTATTCTACCTTGGCACCATTCGGAGGCTTTGCATTCATCGCTGCCTGGGCAAGTTTGCTTTTCTGAATATATCAAATCAAGTTACGACGATATGCCTTATGGTCAGCTTTCCATGCCTCTGCCATCTTATCCTAAATTCGAACAGTCAAGTTATTTGAAAAGATTGTTATACTCTTACCGTGTAAAACGACTTTTTCTGTCACTCGTTGTGCTAACTTTGTTACGGGACAAGTTATGTAAATAACCAGACGGGATGTTATCTCGGATTCTGGGTGCATATTTTCACAATGCACCGGGGAAATAAATTGTTTCGTCAAATGCAGATGGATAAGTGAATATTTGTATCCATTATCGGGTTCTGTTCTTTTGCACCAGAAATGCAATGAGGCTACACAATTTCCGGGTGTGGTGAATAGATCTAAATCTCATAACCCATCTCCTGAACTTTTCTAGTACATGATACTGATCCAAATCTTGGAAAGAAAAAGCATTAAATAGCAGAATCAGAATCTCAGAAGAAAGCATTAGAAAAAGCAACTCATCTCATCTTCTGTCTTCTCTGTGTAATCAGGGTGTATACTCGAATTGGCAAGAATCATGACCTGCCAATCATGGTTACATAATCATCACCAGAGTCACATGCAAAGCTTAAAGTCTTTCCAAGATCTACAATGATTCCGGTGATTGGATGATTGGAGTGAGATGGTTCTTGAAGAGGAGCTTACTTGGGTCAAGTTCAGTGATCATTGCAGCACCTTTGAAGTAACATGAACCTCCTTTGTTCTTATAACGTTGGTAATAGCTGTTGAAGGCAAAAGCCGCATGGTCTCTTACAGTGTTGGGCAGGAAACAAGGCTGGTTTTGTTGGATCTTGCTGCAGTCTACTCCTCCTTTCAAGCACGCCCAATCTAACGCTGCCTGCAACTCATCATCTGGTGTCTGCTCATCAGCTACACACCATTGTTCCAACTCTGCCTCTGCTTATACACACACATATATGCACATGTGAGCGTATGTATATGCGTGCGTATACGTGTAAGTGCAGTCATCTTTACCTGATTCTTGAGGAGTTGCTACTGATATGATGAGCAGGGCAAGCATTATCCTTATCAAGAGAGTTGGCATCTTGAAAGAGAGCAAGAATGAGTTTCAGATTATGCAAAAATATCTGTATATATGAGAAGTGTGATTGCAAACAAACTCCAACTTGACTCTTTTATAGTGACATGAAAGAGAGAGAGAGAGATGAGTAATCCAAAAGTTTTAAACTTTAATGGATTCTCTCACAGTTAAGAACCTTCATAGTATTTTTTTTTTACTTTTTTACTGTACTTGAAACTGTGGAGTGTGGATGACTTTGGAATCTAGTTATGCTTCAGATGCAATCAAGAGTTTAGTTTTATAACCCATTTTAGTTTATCTTTTTGCCAACTCGAGATCTGAACATTGTCGGACAAGGTTGTTGTCTCATTCTAGAACCCAAACAAGTGCCTTCCATGCTGCTTTTGGAAGTTTCTCTGTCTGTAACTGAACAAGACAAAACACGAAGTCATTGGCAATAAAACCTAATACTCTCACCTTTTCACTGCAGAGGAAAAGGTGAGATTACTACCACAACATACAAGGTAACTCCAAAGTTTCAGAAGACAGAAACAGAGGCTATATGAACAGAATATACTAAGCTATACACTGCAAATCTGCTATACACTCGGGCAAATATCGACGGGAAACGGAAAGGGTGAAACCCGTATATACAAAGGGAAAGAAAACAGTCGTTCTCCCGTCTGCTATTTCGTGGTTTCTTGCGGGACGAAACCGACGAAGTAAGCAGCGGAAAATTCTTTCCCTGCAATGAACTCATGTTGAGTGCAAAGCCGTGGAATTACCTAGAGTTTCCCGGTTGGTTGCTGTTCTTCCTCGAGCACAAGCATGAGACATCGGGATGATCCAATGGTGTAAAACGACTTTTCGCTAACTACTACACTCAAAGAATCTCACTACCGCTTTATACAGCACTTCTTCTTCAAACGGCTTTGATACGTAACCATCCATTCCGCATTTCACACATTTCTCATTCGTAGCCTGAATCACATCAGCTGTCATCGCCAATATGGGGACATGCCAGTTATCCACGTTACCAAACACATCAGCAGACTCTTCTCCAGACTCGATCTTCTCGTTGGTTTCCTTCTCCAGATCACGGATTTTCCTCGTCGCCTCAAATCTGCACCGCAAATAAAAAGATGGGTAGATCAGTTGTCGTTCAAAAACCACCCATCAAGGAAGACATTGAAAGAAAAAAAAACCATAGTTACCCGTCCATTTCAGGCATCTGGAGATCCATGAAGCAAGCATTGAAACTATGTGGAGGCTTAAGCATTGCTAATGCAGCCTTTCCACTGTCGACACATTTCACGGTGGCTCCGTATTTCTTGAGCGCACCTTCGGCCACTCTCCTATTCACCAGATTGTCATCGACAACCAAAATCCGCTTGTCTCTCAAGAGATGTCCGAGATTTTCTCGCTTCTTCCTATTCGTGTGCTTGTATTTACCGTTGCTGAGGGCTTGTTGCAAGAAACCGATCAAGACACTCAAGCGAAGAGGCTTTATTACCACATCGTCGACAAGACCAGAAGACTTGAACTCAACTCGCTCCATGGGAGTTGCAGAGGTTGCCAGAAGAAAAATCTTCGGGCGGCTCATGGATGTTTCTTGACCACTATTGTTTAGCAACTCGCTGAATTCTGTGAACTCTTTCTTGTTCCAGACATCTTTGTCGATTAGAACCATAGCCAAATTTGCCAATTTACTGCACAAAGGTTGAAATATTAAGGAAATCTCGAAGAAATGTTTGGTTTACTCTGAGAAAACTAGCAAAAGAAAGGATTTTGATCCATTAGAGTTGAAGAACCTCGAAAAGGTAGATGCCATTCTCAAACATGTAGCAAAATTAGCCGATATTCCCAACCTCTGAAGATGGTATCGCGTGACCTCAGCTCGGATACTTCTGCTATCAATAACTAATGCCCTCAATCCACGGAACTGCTGAACGGCTGAATCGTACTGCTCCCACTTGGTAACCGATGCATTCTTTTCCGCTTTCCCAAAAATACCGGTGAAAGAGAAAGTACTGCCCGTTCCAGGCTCACTAACGAATCCAATCTCTCCTTGCATGAGCTCAACCAGACGCTTGCTTATGCTTAAGCCAATACCTGTCCCACCATAAGTACGGGAGGTCGAACTGTCAGCCTGCATGAACGGAGTGAAAATCCGGTCTTGTGCATCTAGAGGAATACCAATTCCCGTGTCCTCGACAGTAACAAGCAGTTCGATTTTATCAGGTCCATGATGATTCTCTGGGATGCCGTTAAATGTCCTGAAATTCCTCCAGCTTCCTGACGCATCTACGACTGGATACCCGCTAAATGTGTTGCATATCTCACCCGACTTCTCGAGTGCTAAACCCAGTCTTTGTTTCAGCACTCCGTCTTCTGTGTCGAGGGGTTCCCTCACCTCGTCTGCAAGATGGACCGAGACAAATATGTGCCCCTTATCGTGCGTGAACTGTAATTACGGAACACAAGAACAAGTGAGAGGAGTTCTGTTTCTGTTTCTAACTAACAAGCAAACAAAGAAAGGACTACCTTGATTGAGTTTCCAACAAGGTTTGTAATTATCTGCCTGAATCTTCCCGGATCACCCGTAACAACATCGGGAACTTGCCCCGATACATACACGGCCAACTTTTCTCGCACAAACCAAGAACCGAGCACTCGATTAGACAAGTGAATATGCAAACAAAGAAATTCCATGTATTATATGTGTATATATATACCTCGATTCCTTTCTCATTTGCTTTCCCAGAGAGGAGAGACAAAACGTTATCAAGAACAAAACGTGGATCAAAAGGCACGTTTTCAAGATCGAGCTTTCCTGATTCAATCTTAGCCTGGTCAAGAACCTCATTTATCAGTGAGATGAGATCTTTCCCGCTGTCATGAGCAGTTTGGGCATAATCCAATTGAATTGCATCAAGATCAGTGTCCATCAGCCTTGTCAGCATTCCTGCAACGGGCAGCCACATAGATTTAGGTTGATAATCCCCAAGAACATGGACATATAAATGGGCAAAAATATTCCCCATACCAAGAACACCATTCATTGGAGTCCGTATCTCGTGAGAAACCGTCGCTAGGAACTGCAGAAAGATAAATGTTTCAGTGACAAGACCAAAACTTAGTATCGCTGAAAAGTTTCCAGACAGAGATAACAAAGTTCAATGTGATTGGATATATATATATACACATACATATATATCCACAAAATTTACCTGTGATTTTGCTACATCGGCGGCTTCAGCACGAGCTTTGAGCTCCATCATCTTCTGACAGTCTTCTTCAACTTTTGCAATTTGATTGATAGCTTCATAGAAGATGTAGCCAAGGAGAAAAGAAATAACCAGAAGTCCACCAGACGTACCTATAGCCGACCAAGGAGTAGGAGGCTTTTGCTTAAACCTGCAAATAAACGAGATATTCATGCATTAAGAAAAAAAAAATATAACCACAAAATATCACATACGAGCATAGAGCTAAACCTGCAATGCATTTCATGTTTCCTTGAAGGGTCACCAAAATCAAGGGTGCTAATGTGATGGTGGCTTTCATCGCCGATTTCCGAGCCATACATTCTGATGGGAGCCGAAGCATTGGTCGTGTCATAAACATTCACTGCAATAGTCTGTTTGCTAGCAAGTTGATGAAGAAGCTTCTCTACCAGTGATGGAATATCGTAAGATGCACCTAAGTATCTGCTTCAGGTGTAACTTCCACAGGTTAAAGACATTCCAGTACAAAAGTCATACTGCTCCATAAAAATTCTCTTACTTGTTTTTATATGGTTGCAAGACAGAAGTTTTGTCCGATTTTGGTATAAAAAAACTTGACAGAAATTGTAACTGATTAGAATAAGGTGCCTTCAATAAGCTTTCCCTAAGGAAAAAGAAACTAAAACGGTAGTTTTAGCTAATTTTAGTATAAAAACCTTAAAACGCAGTCAAAGAAAGTTATCAAGCTCTTATTCCCCGGTTCATTGTAGAAAACACCTTATTCTAACCATTTACAAAGTGTTACAATGAAACTAGATAATCATCAATCATTTCGAGTAACCAAAATTGGTCATGGTTAAGATTAGGTAACAAGAACGGACCCCATAGTCGCTTGAATACGTTGTTCCTCTGTAGCATCATGCGGTAGGTCGGTATTGTATACCGCAAAGGTCAACACAACACCAAGATGATTAGACTTCAGAAGCTTAAAAGGAGACGTTAATACCCCTTTCCCGGTTGCCCTTGCCCTCAATATGTTTTCACGGTCTTCCTGCATGATAATAAACCATCTTTTGTCACCTTAACTTTGAGATAGAACAATTAAATAATTGGCATATGATAAAATGACACTGACTTTCCCAGACATCATGTCAATTGACACGATATGGGAGACGGTTTCTTGAGCGAATATAACCGGTGCATATTCATCTTGAAGGGGTGCTGGATCTAAATTTTCAGGAACGCAGTCTTGCACAAGAGTCTGGTCCTCGGTTTCCATTTTCTTTATTGTCCATCCATGCTCCTTCTCAAACTGTTCTCTTTCTGAGTGAAGAACTTTCAAAGCATAAGCAACACCGCTAGTAAGAGGCCTCTCGAAATTTGTTCTCTCAGTATATTCACCAAAGGTTTTCTGCAAAAGAAGAAAGTATGAAATCACGTATTTGTTCAAATAAAAGATCTTTAGATACAAAAGCTATTAACAGTAGTTGTTAGCCAAGGCATCACCTGATCTATGGCAGACGGGGTTTTCCCGTGGTGAAAGGTGGATACAAGGATGGCCAAGGCATGTACATGATTCATGCTAACATTGAACTGATCTTGTAACATGCGGGCTCGTTCATCACACATGCTAGCTAATGTCTCTGTCCTTTTACGTGTAATATTTTTATTTAAGTGCCAAAACAAGAAAACAGATAGCAGAATTCCCAGGAAGGCAAGGAAGGTAAGTAACTTCTTCCTCCAGTCTCCAGTTCCTCTTGAAGGAGTCTGAGCCAATGGCTGCTGAAGAGAAGCTTTTTCCTTTTTCTCTCTTGTTCTTTCAGAACGACGTGAAAAATTCTTCCAGAATGCGAGCACTCCAGCGAGGAGACACCACCATCCGTTCATTAGATAAGATGAGAAATTCTGATGGTTCTCCGTTTCATAGTCTACGAGTTGTGTTGATTGAAGCAAGTTCTATTCACAACCAAAGCATTCAAAAGATGAAAAGATTCAAACTTTTTTGTAATTCTTTACCAAAAGAAAGAAGTATACCACATCTTGCCAAGAAATGTTATATCATACCCCTTCAGGATTCTCATACATTGGAGCTGGTGATGAAACAGAACAAAGATTCCATGGAGTTCTTCCCTCCTGAACAAAGCATTGTGCCTCAGATTTCACCATCTCTGCAACACTTGTACAGTGCCTCTTCTCACTCGAACGCATAGTTATAGAACATGTAACACCACCGTTTACTAATCCTGCGAGGCCAGATTCTTTGTGGCACTCAAAGGATGTCACCTGCAACAGAGACAAAGAATGACATGACATTACCAACTAGAGACTTAATCAATGAGCTTTTTTGTCAAACATTATACAGATTTCAACGGCCATGAACCTTTCTCCAAACACAACCACTGATGGTAGTTGATGATTGTACCATATTCCACTTTCTTTTCTTTCTCCAACACAACCACTGAAGGTAATAATAGAAACTATAGCATTCCACTTTCCTTTCTTTCCAAAGTCCATTTCATATATATCCTGTGTGTTTAGTACATGAAGCTCTAGAAGCTCACAGTAAACAAGGAAAATTTCTTAGCTCCCAAAGCTATGGTGGCTACAGCAAGAAACTAGATACATTCTTGGACCCCAAAACCCATAATTTCACTAGTTTTGAAGGTGTACCTGGTCAGAATCATAGAACAAAGAAGCCAGAGCATAAATCTCACTCCTGCTGACATTGTTATGTCTGAAAAACATCATATCTTTTCCATCAAGATAGTGGATTTTGCCCGAGAGGGCCCAAAGAACAATCACCACGCAGACCAACCCGCCGAAAATTGGGAAAAACTTAAACCTCACTCTCCATTTTCCGGCACGGTTTGGCTCCTCTGGTCTCTTGGAAAGCTTACAAGTAATAGGCATGTCAACCGACACAAGAATGGCGTGTCCTCTTGAGCAGGTCTGAGAACTTGAGCGAAAACCCGATCTCCAGAACAGCTATGTATGGAAGACCCAGATTACTAGAAGTCGGTAATTTTAAACCCCTAATCTCAGATTTAGCTGAAATTAGGGGAAATTCAGATCTTTCGAAGCAAAAAGATGAAATCTTGTTCAGCAAACCCACCTCACGAGTTCGTTCTTCCGAGCAATCAGAGAGGAAGTAACACACAATTCGCTTTCAGAAACCCAAAAGGTTGGGTCCAATGTCAAGAATCGTGAGTAGCAAAAATGAAACCCTTGACCATCCAAGACAACAAGAAAAGCCAAACCCAGTACTTGTTCTTGTCCAAGCTATGAAAAGGAATCAAGTTTCAGGTAAGAAATAGAACAGAGAAAAGGACGGAGCTTTAGCTTTCATGGCCACAGGGTAATGTCAAAGCTCTCTCTCTCTCTCTCTCACACACACACACACGCAGAGGGGTGAGTGAGGAAGAAGAAGAAAGCTTTGTGGCTTTGGCCCTCGAAACAAACAGTGTTACCATGAAAGAGCAAAAGAAGACCAGCTGGTTTCCCTGATAAACCAACTGGACTCAATGATCAGACTTTGGATAAGAGAGAGAGATGTAAGAGGAATAAAAAGAAAACAAAAGAAAAAAAAAAAGGAACAAATCTCTCTCTCTCTCTCTCTCTCTCTCTCTCTCTCGTTTGTTTGGTGCACACACCACACCATATTGGAATTGAGGTTTTAGGGTCCATGATTATCTCATCATCTTAGGTGGGGGAAGGTCTTACCATAAAACTAAACATATAAATTAAAAGAAACAAAAAACAAAAACCGCCCACTAGCCCCAAAGAATCAAATTCCTAAACCTACTCACCATCATTTACTTCCTGTTTGCAAAATGTTTTCTTTTTTTTTTTTCATTTATTTATTGGAATATTATAAAATTTGTATGTAAAAAAAAATGTTTCACCAACGTAACTTAACATCTACTCTAAATCATAACTTATATAGTCCTTTGTGTTTTATTTATACATGTCGCCGTCAGCTTATGATTAAGTATTGCAGAGTTTCCTAAATGCAGACAAAGATACTATGTTTTGATAATACTCAACTCTCTACCTAAGCCTAATATTATATATATACATATATGTATATATATGAGAATCCTATGTATGGTTTTCTTATCATATACTCTAATAGATACTTTTGTTTTTTATTAAAGGATTGCATTAGGTAGAATGAGAATAAAAACTCATTGATTATTATACTGAGTTCTAAAGGTTTGGGACTATTTAAAGATTAGGGTTTTTAATGTGAATCTTATATCAGTTTCGCTTTCGATTTTGCCCTTATATAATTAACTCTTGTCCCACGCCCAAGATAAACCGCTCAACTGGTAAAAGTTGAGATAAAATTTCTTTCCAACTCAAGTTCGAGAATTTGTTTGGATAGTAATTTCATAAAGACTTTTCGTTTTTCTTGATGTAGTTGGAGTAAAGGTTAGGCAAATTTTCAAATTAAAAAAAAATCGAATATGATATAAATATATATATGGAAGATATGCTTGAATTGGATGAGGGGACTATATTACATGTATATATCTCATTTGAGTTCTTTCTATGGAACAATAATTGTGAAAGCCAATAAATATGGAAGTAATATTAGTTTGGTTACATATATTTAAAATGGATTATCCAATCAGAGAAGGTCAGTGGTGTAGTTGGTTGAGAAGAAAAGAATGTTTTTGTCTCAAATACTATATTTGAGTGATCGTTGGAGAGGAATGATGCAATTTAATTGTAACAAGACTGTCTTCTGATTCAGGATAAATGTAGTTGAAAAACTAAAAAACCAATGTGAATACAAAAAAAAGGATTGTCGGTCTAAGATCTAACCACGTAATTTTGAAAAGATCACCATTTCTTTTAGTATCGATTTCATTTTTTCAAAGGAATTATATGCTTAAATGTACATTCATCAAAGTAGCTTATTATGTTGACCATTTATTTTCTTGGGAGGTCAACATAATAAGCTACTTTGATGAATGTACATTTAAGCATATAATTCCTTTGAAAAAATGAAATCTTATACTCGATTTACAAAAACGGAGAATGTACAAGCGCTATAGAATTTGGAAATGGACTGACAGTAGTAGGTCACATGAGGGCATTGAACACTCGCAAGTCATGTTGTGTAGTTTTGGTGTGCTATTATTTATTATGGCTTCAGCAAAGACCAAAGTCATAGCCCCGAACGTAGGCAGTACTTTGCATTGGTCCACCACTCATGCTTTTGTGTTGTTACTTACCATTATATCATTTTATACATATATATATATATATATATGTATGCTTTTGTAACTATATAATATAATATAATATAAGGCGTGGAAAAGCACTCTTGAGTTGCATTATTTGATGGGAATTGCAGTTTCGCCTTCATCATTTTGATGGGGAAATATAGTGGACAAATTGATACTACCTTATGTTGATTCAGAAAGCATCTCTAAAAAATTGAATCTTTCTTGCCTTTTTTTTAAAAAAAAATTCAGTAATCGATAATATCGGAAAATTATCCAATATAGAAATGTCGGTTCATTTCTTTTACAGAAAATATGATTATACTCAACCGACATAGTTTAAAAAAAAAAAACATTTCAAGTTCGGAATTGGATTAAAGATTCAGATTCTTTTTTTAGAAAAAAATTGGGTATCCTAAAACATACCCATCTTGAATTTTCTTTCAATTTCTTTTCAATAAAACCAAATTAAAAACTTGAAAAAACTATAAAACACAGAGACATTATTAACTTTCTACAACCATTTTTGCCCATTTCGGGCGTCGATTCAACCATTTTCCAGATTGATTTTTCCGTTTTTTTTTTATAATTAAAAAAGACACTATTTCCATTAGCGAAATGGCCACCCCGACACAGACGAACAAATCTTTTAACTCACTCGGTTTCTTAGCGAAAGAGATGAACGACGGAAGGAAAACAAGTGCCGAGAGGGGCGTTGCTTCGGCCGAGCAAACAGATATGGGAGGGGCATACAGTAAATAGACACTCTCCTACTCTCCTACCGCGACGAACGGGAGTCCCCTGCCAAATTTCCAATTTCCGAGTCAGAAAACCCGAGATACTTCCCCATCATTCCCGTCTTTTTACGAAAACCCGATGCCGCGACAGTTCAGTTTAGTTTCCGGTGTTTCTTTTCAGACACGGTGAGTTATTCTTGCTGTCTGAAGAAGAAAAAAAGGGAAACACTTACCAGCCACCGTGCCTCGAGAAGTAATCGTTGTCGAGCGAAATGGCAAGCGCAACCGCAACAGCTCTTTCTGACAGAGTCAGCGGCCGCTTCACTTCCAACTCTTCCACCTGCCCGTTCACGTCGGGTGAGGGCCCCGCAAAAAAGAAAAACCAAACGAACCAGAGGGAGAGAGGGAGGCCTCGGGGAAACTTACCGTTCTAGCGGCGCCAGTTTTGGGCGTAGCAGCATCAGCTTCCCCGAATCGGATCACGTATTGCCCGGCATCTGTGAAAATCTGTATCATATACGAATATATACATGAAACCCATAAGATGAAATCTCGGGAAAGAGCAGGAGAAAAAAATAAGGTCCGAGAGCACAAAAACCTCGAAGCCGAAACCCCTCCAGTCACGGTCTATTTGCGCTAACACTTCCCCGTCAACGTCCTTCAACGTAAATGTCCAGTTCCACAACCCCGGGTTTTCCACCACCGCAAACTGCTTGTTCCTGAAAACGCGCGAGAGTTGTATAAAAATCGTTTTTTTCAGATCCGTCAAAACTGTAATGGAAAGCTTATTTGAAGAGGTTTACCCGAGGTACAAATCATAAATCCTCCTCCATAGATGCCATCTTCGGTGAACCACGCCGATTTCCTACACAAACAAATGGCCGGAACCAAACTGTTTACGAGAGGAGCGATGCAAACGCAACTACGAATTGCTGTTTTGACGTTATATCTCTATACCTTTCCATCAATCTCGGCATATATCGAACTGTTGATCCACCAGAAAGGTCTACGAACCTAAACACGATTGAAATGAATCCGTAAATCTCAAACAACAAAATATCTGCAAACTTATATGCAGCTCTTTTACAAGTTCAACGATTTTTTATACGAAAGCGGGAAACAAGCAATGCCGGAAATCCTCACCCGGAAAAGCTCGTTACCCAAAGCATCAGTTATGGAAGCAACAAACGGACGCCGGAGACGAAGTAGCTGCAAAATTTGTAAAAAAAAAAATCATATGAGAACCCTTTTCTCTCTTTTGCTTGTAACATACAAAAGTTTAGTGCTGACATGAAATATAGTTGTCAATCATTGAGGTGAAACTACCATTTCGATGTATCGGAGTTACAGTTACTGAAGGCGATATAAAGTTACACATGGTTTTAAAAGCAAACACGGCATTC